ATATCCATTAATCCTCTCTCAGCCTCCGTCTGGGCTGGCCAGTAAGGGCGATCATGCAGCGTCCGTTTGTTATTTGGTGCCATCCATGGTGTAGAAAGAGAGCTAAAACTGAATTTAAATACTGCAACACGTCACATCACATGCAAGTGCCGGGCGGCGCGGGTTCCGTGGGGGGGTTAGATGCTTGCTTTTCATAATGCGGCAGAGGGAATAACTCTCAGAATAACGTTATTAGCATCATTTTACAACTTTTTTTTACGGAACGCATATGGGGTTTTTAATAAGGGCTCTATATTTTTTTTACTAAGTGTTCATACTGGGCCTAGGTTTATCTAGGCTTTAAAAAAATTATCCAAACGATTTTTTACAGACCATTCTCCCCATTTAAAGGGCCCAGATAAACCGGGCCCGAAATCGGCTCAGTAAATGGGGAGTCGGGGCCGAACATGAGCCTGCGGCCACGCCCCTATTCGGCGTAGTGGTGGTGCGCCGCCACCGTCGGCCGGTCCCTTTTTCTGGCCGGACCTGGACGCCTTTTTTTCTTGGCCGATCTCAACATGTTTGAATCGGGCGTCGGGAACACCACCGGAAGTCGGACAAAGGGATAACACTGATTGGCTGTTCAGCTAGCGAATCAGTGCATGAGAAGCGTTAACGGAAGTGAGGGAGGTAAACAAATGATTTAAAATGGAAGATGGAACACACACGGACGGCTATTTCACCTCATCGGTTTATAGAGCTCCTGTTCGTTCATGTTTTCAATGGACGAGAGTGAAAATGGAAAGAAAAACGCTATTTGTTGTTTGTTTATAACACGGAGTCTGTTCTTCTTCTCTGTCTTCCGGTTGTTCCGGTTGTTGCCTCTTTTGAATGATGAATACACACTACCGCCGCCTGCTGGTAAGGAGAGTTATTGCCAATCATGCATACGCAGTTCATACGTGCTCGGCTCGGATTTGCGGTGTGTTCCAGTGCGCGAAGTCGGCAAATACGCAGGAGAGTCCGGCGACGCAACAGTCGTTGTCGGCGTCGGCGACTTCTCAGGTGACTGGCCGGTGTATCTGGGCCTTAAGTCAATGGGGAAAAGTGTTACGGGCCTGGCAACCAAACGGAAGTGTAGTACCGCCATTTGGCCAGCACGAATATTTTCATCAGAGTCCGGCGCACTTCTTGGGGGCTTGGTTTCTCTAAGCAGGGCTGGAATAGAGGGGTAGGACAGGAGGGATGTCTAAAATGCATGATCTGTTTGTATTTTGAGAAAAACACATCATAGACATGTTTTTATATATTTTTATATATCTGAGACCCATAATACATGCCTAAAAATAGCATGACACGTGCACTTTAACATCTTTTTATAATACAGCCCTTGTTTACTTCAATTATTAAAATATTCCCTCAGTAGTTGGATGCTTTTAACACCATGAGGCATGCATGAAACACAGAGTTTCCCTTGAGTATTCAAAAGCAACACCGAGTGAGTTACTAAATTACTTTTGATTACATTTGACTTTGAAATCAACTAAAATGCAATTCAGACCGACTAAAGAGTAAAAACATGACTAAAACATGACAACTTTTAATGGAATAACACATAGAGAATATATTTACAAGGACATTATAGTATCCCAGTTATGATCAGATATTTGGAGTATCCCAGTTATGTTATGTGCATTTAAATATTATATTGGTAAAAAGTCCCTTTCCCAGTTTTAGGACAACTTTATGTGCTAGCTTGAGTACTCCTTAACCCCCGATACTTATAATCCTATTATACAGGTTTTTGAACATGTCTGCCGTGTGCACAGGCATTTCTCAACTTGAGTAATGCAATAGTAATATGAAAGTTAGACTTAGTTTAGTCAGTCTGAATGGATCTGATCATCTGGATCATACCTTTCCAATGATGCAACTAACATCTTTACCTCTCCCTAGGAGCTTACGTTTTTATGAGTTGTCCGACTGTTTGTCTTTTTGTCAGCAAGATGAGGAAAACACTATTAGGCCAATTGTTATGAATTGTATTAGACGGATGTAGGCCAAGAAAGAACACATTACATTTGGGAAATCAAATTTCACTGCACTCATGTGGTGTCACACATTATACCACATATCCTTGGTAGCGTCCATGTTATTTCCACATGACCAACTTTGGAAGTGGGACCATCTAGGGAGTATTTAAGTGTATCAGTGGCGAACCGTCAGGGCCTTCAAGGTATTCAGAGAATACCCTGGAACACTCAGATAAAACAAACAAAAAAACGATCCAAACTACAACATATAATAAGTACCCTATATTAAGATTGATGCAAAAC